GCGTGGCCCATCCCATCCTCGGAGCTTGGAGCCGAGTTCCTGGCAGGGAAGCGGCTGAGGCTCAGCCCGGGGGTGGTGACGAGCTCATGGAGCCCCTTGTCCCCTCTAGTGGCCTCCAGCCCGCCGCGGTGGGAGATCGGGCTCTACGCCGCCGGCGCCTTGGCACTGCTGGGAATCGCAGCCATCAACATCTGGAAGCTCTGGCGCTCCGGCAGCTACCCGGCCCCTTCCCCCTTCCCAAACTATGACTACCGGTACCTGGAGCAGAAGTACGGAGCGGCGTATCCGGACGTCAGGCACAAGGTAAAAGGGGGAAAAGTCGAGATCGGTCTCCTCTTCTTCCCTTTATAGCATGCAGGACGCTGGAAGGGTGAAAATATCTCCTGGCTCCCAGTGGGAATGGCCGCGGGCAGCGACCTGGTGCCGGTGGAGCGTTTTGGGGGATCGGTGGAACCGGGAGCTGCGGGAGGCACTGGGCTCGCTGCCGCAGCAGCTTGAGGCCAGGCGGGAGCCGGGAGGCGTCCAAAGAGGGGCCGGAGAAGCCCAGCTGGAGGGACGGGATGGCATCGCCTGGTTTCCTTTCCCTGGCAGCGAGGGCTGGCCCCGGGCTCGCAGCGGACGCTGGGTCAGAGCACTGCCAGCCGCAAGAGCAGCCTGAGGGCAGAGGACACCTTGGAGAGCATCCAGGAGCTGGGCAGCCTGGAGCTGATGGGCAGAGACCTCGGACTGGCCCACTACGGCCCCCTGAAGAAATCCATCTCGGCCGACTCCCTCAACTCCATCTCGTCCATCGGGAACAACTTCGGGCAGGATTTCACGGTGGGGCAGGTGGAGGTGTCCATGGAGTATGATGGGAGGGCGGCCGCCCTGCACGTGACGCTGCTGCAGGGCAAGGACCTGCTGGAGAAGGAGGATGCGCGATTCGAGTCCTGCTTCATGCGGATCAGCCTCCTCCCGGCCGAGCAGATCGTCGGCATCTCCCGAGTGAGTCCCCCCAGTCCCCCACAGACCCCCGGCATGGATCACAGGGCCTGGGAGTTTGAGTGGAAGCATCTCTTGGGCACACTCCCCAAGGCAGGGGTGGGGGTTTGGGAGCAGGGAGCTCCAGACACATTGGATGTGGTTGGCATGGGATTTTGGGGGTCTCAGCTTCCCAGGACAGTGACTGGGGTTTGGGAGCAGGAAGGTCTGAGTGCATCAGGACTGGATGCGGTTGGCATGGGATTTTGGAGGGGGGTGTCCTAGGTGGGTTTGCACATCAGAGGCTTGGCAGAGGCATCTCCCCTTTGGCCGGGATTTGGGCTGGCTTTGTCGTCTCCGAGCATGGCTGGTGGCAGGTTTTCCTGCTTGAATTGCCCTACTCCAAGCACCAGGGATGTGGTGGGAGGTGGAAGAAGTAGCCTGGGGCGGGACTTGGGGGGCAGTGGCAGTTTGGGCCGGTGCTCTTGGTGCCTTGCCATGGTCCCACAGCCCCCTGAGTCCCCACAGCCCCTGCAATCCCTCTCCCATGGCAGATCCAGAGGAGTGCCTACGCTGTGGCCTTCGACGAGCGCTTCTCCATCCCGCTGGACCCGGCAGCGCTGGAGGAGAACAGCCTGCGCTTCTCTGTCTTCGGCATCGACGAGGACGAGAGGAGTGTCAGCACCGGCGTGGCCGAGCTCAAGCTCTCCGACCTGGACCTGGCTGCGCGCCCCTTCAACGCCTGGCTCTACCTGCAGGACATGAGCAAGGTGAGCCGGGGCGGGGGGTTGCCCCATCTCCCACCTCAGGTGGTTTCTGGGGGGCTCCCAGGAGTCCGTGGGTGACGGCGCGTTGTGTCCCACAGCCTGTGGACACGGTGGGGGAGATCCTGCTCTCCCTGAGTTACCTGCCCACGGCCGAGCGGCTCACAGTGGTGGTGGTCAAAGCCAAGAACCTCGTGTGGAGCAACGGCAAGGTGACCGCAGGTGAGGGGACCAGAGGAGGCCGGGTGGGCACGGGGGGGCCCGTGGTGGGCTGGGGGGCGTGGGGGGTTTGTCCTGGTTTGTGCCACTCTGACTACACAGATCTTTACTGGAGTGGTTCCTGTTGAGGAAGGGCCACTAGAGAGGGTCCCCCACCTCTCTCCACATCTCTGGGGACACATGTGACTGACCCTGGGGCCTCTCCCCCACCTCTCGAGCAGATCCCTTCGTCAAGGTGTACCTGCTGCAGGACGGGAGGAAGATCAGCAAGAAGAAGACAGCGGTGAAGAGGGGGGACACCAACCCTGTGTTCAACGAGGCCATGATCTTCTCCGTGCCGGCCATCGTGCTCCAGGTCTGGCCTAGCTTTTATCGGGGTGGGGGGCACATCCCATCGCTCCTCAAGCTCCCCAAACCCTCCAGTGGGGACTTCCAGGAGGATGAGGGGTTCTGGGGGGATGCTGGGAGCTGTGGGGGCCATGGGTGTGCAGGGATGGTTTGGGGGTGTTATGAGTGGGGCAGGGCGTGGGAGCAGACATG